CCTATATAGGGTCACTATGCGTTGGAATCGACTCCATGGCACATAAATCACCAACCACCAATCCGGTGGGCGGCCACTTCAGTCCCACAGGTGTCACTCTGGTGCCCTTAAAAGCCACGACTACGGTGCAGTTCTTGATCAACTTGTTCTTTGACAAGCGTGAACAGTGGTGAGTCAGGAGCAGGAGTGAGGGAACAAAACACACTGTAGCAGCAACTGAGTCTTCCTCAAAGAACATTTTCCTGTTTTCACAGACGCTTATTGCCTAATGCTCATTCATTGTTGATTTCTGAGCTCTTATCCGGTCGTCCTCTCAGAGTAGGGACCCTTTGTGACCTGTGCTGCAGACTGTGCTCCTCCAGACAATTTCCATTTATTCAAGCACCCCAAGGATTGATCTATGAGAACACACCCCCACCGCCACCCCATGACTCAGTCAGGATAGACAGGGTCCACTATCATCTCCTCTTGGGGTTGTGGAGATTTCTTCCTGGTCCATCTTGTATCTTTTTACTGAGGTGTGGTCCTTACCTTTGCCTGGCTGTAGAGATTTCAGCTCCATTGCTCTGCTTCTCATGAGTCCCAGGCCTTGTGTCCTATGCTAGTAAGGCTGCTTAAACCCAAGCCCTTGTTGTTGTTGTTAGGTGCCACCTAGACACTTTTGACTCATAGTGGCCCAATATAAGGTTTCTGAGGAATAGCTGGTAGGTTGGAAATGCTTACCTGGCAGTTAACAGTTCAGTGCTTATCCTACAGCACCAAATCCAAGCCCTTTTGTTGTTAAGTGCCATCGAGTCAATTCTGACCCATAGCGACCCTGTATAGGGTTTCCAAGGAGCAGCTGGTGAGCTTGAACCACAGACAATGCAGTTTAAATGCAGTCTGGATCATTAACCCACAGCGCCACACCAGGACTCCGGGTACCACCCTTAGGTACCCCGTAATACAGTCAAAGCTCAGAAGCCACTTATCACGGAGGTTTTTGTTATCTCTTTGTTTTTGGTCTGTTAGTATTTGCTTTACTGTCCTTTACAACAACAACAACAAACCCAACATTTTATCTACCATTACCAACACACACATATATTTTTAACACTTAATTTTGAGTAGTTTCTACACACCCTTCACCCAGTTTCCCCTTACATTCACATTTTGCATAACCATAGAACAATGATGAAAATGAAGATATTAAGCTTGGCACAATGTATTAACTAAACCACAGAATCGATTTGGATTTCACTAGTCTTTGCACTAACACCCTTTCTAGTCCAGTATCCAACACTGTATTTCCTTGTCATGACTCATTTGTTGTTGTTGCAAGGTGCTGTTGAGACAATTCCGACTCACAGGGACCCTGTGCTCAGTTCGCGCCACCCTCACTATTGTCATGTTTCAGCCCAATGCTGCTGCCATTGTGTCAGTCCATCGCATTGGGGGTGTCCTCTTTTTCTCCCTATCAAGCATGATGTCATTCTTCAGGGTCTGCTCCCTCCTGATACATCCAAAGCATAAGAGATGAAATCTCACCATCCTTACTTCTAGGAATCATTCTGGCTGTTCTGGCTCTACTTCTTCCGAGACAGATTTATGCGTTCTTCTGGCAGTCAACGGTACTTTCAACATTCTTCGCCAACGCCATAATTCAGATGTATTCATTCTTCTATGATCTTCATTTCCTCCTCAATCTTTCTTTGACATTCATGACCTTATAACTTTTAAAGTATATTGGTTAATTGTTATTTTGCAGAAGGTTCTTCAATATGGGTTTCTCTGATACTTTCTCACAATCAGATTTTGGTTATGCATTATTGGGAAGAATTCCATAGGAGTGATGTGCTCTTCTCAGGGTATCACTGTTGTTGTTATTAAGTGCCGCTGAATTGGTTCTGACCCACAGTGACCCTGTATACGGTTTCCGAGGAGTGACTGGTGAGCCTGAGCCGCCGACCCTGCAGTTCAAACTGACTTTGCAGTCCAGTGCATTAACCCACAGCGCCACACCAGGGCGTCATATTGAGGGTATATAAAGCCACTGTGTCTTATTACTAAGGAACCCTGGCAACACAATGGGTTAAGAACTGGAATGCTAACCACAAGGTCAGTAGTTCAAACCACTAACTGCTATGGGAGAAACATGAGGCTGCTTGTTTCTGTGAAGGTTTAAAAACCCTCTGGGGCATTTCGACACTGTCCTACAGGGTTACTATGAATCAGAACCAACTCGACTACCCTGGATTTTGGTGTCTTATTACTGGTGATGTTAAGCTTTACCACTTGATTAGGGTGGTGTCTGCCAAGATTCCCCACTGTACAGTTACTATTTTCACCTTTGTAATTACTAAAGATTGGGGAAACGGTATTTTGAGACTATGCACATGGCTGCTTCTGCTTAAACTTTGACCCATCACTTTTAGCATCCATTAGTAAGTCTTACCATATTAATTATTATCAAGGGGTTTTGGCAATATATGTTCTTTGTTTCTCTCATTAAGTCTACATTTATTAAGCAGAATTCTTCTGTAACCAAGAGTGGCCCCTTCTCCCCTACTGATTTATCCATTCAGTTGTTTCTTTATATTAGTATGGGCTCAAGAATATTAATTTTATTCTTTGAGATATAATAACATTTATTTATTCAAAATAAACTTTTTTGCTTCAAACAACTTAAAAAAAATTAAATTACAGGAAAAAAAATGGTTATGTAGTAGTACAGAGAGTTTCCGTATATTCTGCTTCTTATCGCCCCTATTATTAACATCTTACATTTATATGGTTATATTCTGCATCTTATCTCCCCTATTATTAACATCTTACATCTTATCTACCCTATTATTAACATCTTACATTTTGGCTCTTCTAGCCAAGTCTTTACAAGAACCGAGTGGGGGCCATGTCTGACTTCCTCTGGCTTCACAAGGGGGAAGGAGAAGCAAACTCATTACCAGCCCAAGGCTGGTTCCTATGAAGTGGAGGTCAGACATACCTCCACCCAACAACCTTCCTTACCCTATTCTGACTCCAACCATCCCTCCTACAGCACTCTCTGTCTGCTTCACAGCTGGGTTCAACAATCCACTGCAACAGCTACAGAGAACTTCTAACAATACTCACAACTATGGGGTTTATTAAGGAAGCAAACAGGGTACAATGCAGGATCAAAACCAATTCAGGATGCAACAGTTTTCCAATCAAGAATGCCTCTTCTCTGCCATACTGCAGAAACACCTTAATCTTGTCTCCAGCTTTTCAGTAATGTGGCCCCTCGGCCTCTACCTTGCTTTGGCAAATGTTAAAAGCTCTTTTAGGCAGTCTGTGAATGCCCAAAGGGCACATTTTGCAAACCAGTCTCCTGTCTGTAGTCACTCAGCTATTCTACGTACATGGGCCTGGAGGCCTCAGCTGCTCTGTCTCTCCATGCCACTGCCTCGACCACCATCTTTGCGACTGCAGCTTTTCTAGGTAGGTGTCTCGCACTCCACTCATGTTCTTCCTTCTTGATGGTCCAGGATCATCTGTTCCTGCTTCTGAGATGGCTCCTTTTAAACCAAGCGGGATGGCACAACTAGCCAATCCCAGCCTTAGAGTCCTATGCACCTTAATTGCATGGTCTCACCCAATCAGTTGGTAGAAATTAAGAAGACCTTGGGTAGAAAAGTCATATCAAGTAAGTTCAAGGCACCCCAATCTTTTTAACTCCCACCAAATGACTGGGGAGGACTATGCAAATGTGAGGTACTGTGGCCAAGAAAGGGGAGTAGGTAGCTTGCTGATAATATAAAGAAGGTGCATAGGAAACATGTTGGGTAGGACCAGGCTAATACAGTGCATGGAACCCTAACTGGCTAAGTTTGTCATTCAACTAGGCTTAAAATGAGCCATTGCAGAGGTGGAGAAGGATCTCACTACCATCAAGAAAGCAGAGCCAGCAGTGGAGCATGTCCTTTGGCCTCCAGGTCCTTGCAGTGAACATCTTCAATCCAGGAGACACACAACTGGAGTTGGCGAGAGATTATGAGAAGCAGTGGCAAAGAAGTGACAACAACAGAGGCAGGGGACAGCACAGGGGAAAAAGCTGAGTGTCTGTGGCAGGAAGGCTGGCTGGTGGAGGGGGGTGCCCCGGACATTTCAGCAGAGTTAAGAGAGCTTGGTAACATCTGCGCAAGCACAACACAGGCCAAGAGATTGAAGGACCTGGAATCAACAACGTTGGGGTCCGTTGGGTCACAGATGTCACGGCCAAATTAGACTGTAAAGACGATGGCTAAGATGACTATCAAACGTACCAACCACTCCTCAGAAACCCTATGCAGGGTTGCTATGAGTTAGAACTGACTCGACGGCACTTAATCATAACAACAAAGACACATTTTAATCAAATACAATACATAAATTTTGTTTGGATTTTGATTCAAAGAAATCAACTTTTTTTAAAACCCATGACTTTTTAAAAACATATGGAGGAAAATCAGACACAAACTGGGTATTAGTTCATAGTGTTAATATTGTTGAGTATCTCCACATCTTAAAACAATTAATGGTATTGTTTATTTAAGTCCTTATCTGTTAGTGATATCTACTTAAGTATTAACTGAAGAATATGATTTCTAGGATTTTTGTTCATATACTCGAGTGTTTTTGTTTTTGTTTTTAACTATGTAAGTTTTTAGCAAACGGGGTAAATCAGTATGGTTGGTATTAAGAAATCCTAGTAGGCATCAATCACTGTGACAATAGTATTATGGTTTGGTTTTGTTGTCCTTATCTGTTAAGAGACACCAAAGTACAAATCAAAGAATAAGATGTACACACAGACACACCCCAAGAAAGCTATAGGGGTGTTCCCAGAAATAGGCGTGTTCCCAGAAAATTTTGCAGAATATAGATAACCACTGAAGCTTGGTGATAGGCAGGTAAGAGTTCACTATAGACTTTTTCTGAGTTAGGTGCATGGCTGATAAATTCAATAAGAAAGATTTTAAGTAATAAAATAAGCTATCTACCTCATAAACTGGTCCAACTTCATAATCTGTGAAAAATCCAATTGACGGCTTAGCTAGAAACACTGGAGTATCGGCACAACTGTAAGAGAGAAAAAAGCAGGGAAGTATGAAATACATACTCTACAGTGAATGATTCATGTAAAAACAAATATAGCCAAGTCACTGAAGACATTCACAATGTGTCATTTGTTATTTCTTTTAAAAGCAGGTTACAAAATAATATGTGAGCATAATCCAATCATTCTGCAGTCATACAGAGTTATTAATTTCATGTAGAGGGAAAACTCTAGAAGTTTCAAAACCAAATATCAACCAAACAATATTGAACAGCATTGTTTTTCTTTTTGGATATCAGTGTTTTCTGATTTTTCTTAACCAACATATTATTGATCAACTAAAGAAAGGTTCACAGTTTTAAGTCCATTAAAGTTATGAATCCATGAAACATCTCATAGTCCTCTCATAAGGACAATGACTAAAATATAGCCAAAAGTACTCTATTAAAAAATAACAATTTATAACAATGATTTAATTAATCCAATTTTAAACATTTTTTTTTTTTATTATCTAAGACATAAGCTAAAGGAAGGAACACATCTTCGCTACAGAGATTCCTCCCATGTGACCTGACTATTTGAACATAAGCAACAGTCAATATCAACCCAAAGCTCTGGCAGACAAAAATAAAGCACAAGCTTAGGACAGTGGAATTGGGATGTCCAAAGGCATCTGTGGGTGGTCCCACTCCATTCTGATACTGACATCCTGCCCTTAACAGTCTATTGACTCCCACAAATGGACCAAACCCAGTACCTCTGGATTTTGAGTCCGATTTTCTGAGAATACAAGCCAAGGAAAGACACACCTCTGTTCTGACATTATACTCTGGAATTTTCCTTTCTGTTCTGGCTTCTTTAGAGGAAAAAGAAGAGACCTGCCTCCATATGGAGTGTCAGGAGGGAAAAACCGAGGGTTTTTTAGGAAGCGGTTCTGACTCTCCATCCGGGCAAGCAGACGTCGCTCCAGTTCTCTCTGTGGCACACGTAAGTGGTTCATCCAGTTTTTATTCCGCGGTGGACTTGCTTTCTTTGAAACACATAAAAGTATAAAGTCAATGGAAGGTAAAAGGTCTGTGTATGTTGACATCTTGACCAATGGCAACCCACAGATGGCCAGTGCAACACCTGCTTTCTGTTTACCTATGGATTCATAATAACTTCTGGCATCATCTTGAGTGCCTTCCCCACCATCACTCCCAGCCCTCACTCTCCACACACATTGCTGTGGCAAGACTTCAAAACTAACCTTGGCAGTTTGTTTGGTCCTGTGTTCGGCATGAGATGAGTCACTTGTCAAATTGTCCAAACTGAGGTCTGACTGCTCAGTATCAGCAAACTTCTTTCTACATAAAACATCAAGCTTCTTGGCCACCTCTTTTTTTCTAATGGCACGTTTCTCACAACTGAATGTCATTTTTTGACATCTAGGGAGGAAGTTGCCTGCAACACCAAGGTAACAAACTCAGTTACGTATTAAGAAGAGGAGGAGGACAGGCGTTTCCAAGATGACTAATAAAGCCACTAATGTCACAGTTAGCTTGGTAGATTCTCCTAAATTTTCACTATTAGTCTACCAGGTGTGGGTTTTTTTCAGCGCGTGAACTACTGCTGGAATTGATTCTGTGTACTTAAGACTTCCTTCTTCCTACTCTGTTTTAGTCTGGAAGCTACACTGAAACCTGTGCACCATGGTTGACCCTGCTGGTATTTAAAATACTGGTGTCATAGCTTCCAGCATCAAGGCAACACTCAAGCCACCACAGTATGACAAACTGACAGATGAGTGGTGGAAGAAGGAAGGTGAATTACTTCTGATTGTTTAGCCACCGAAAACCTATGGAATAACAATGGAACACTGTCAGATATAGTACCAGAAAATGAAAACTTTATGAAGAGTAGCAGAACATTATCAGACATAATGCTGGAATTTGAACCCCTCAGGTTGGAAGGCACTCAAAATATGACCAGGGAAGAGCTGCCTCCTCAAAGTAGACTCGTCTACCATGATATGGATCGGGCAAAACATTCAGTACCTTTATTTGCTGATGGGACATGACTCAAAATGAGGAGAAACAGTTGCAAATATCCATTAATAATCAAAACATGCAATGTAAGAAGTATGAATCTAGGAAAATTGGAAGTTGTCAAAAATGAAATGGAATACATAAACATCGATATTTGAGACGTTAGCGAACTGAAATGGACTGGTATTGGCCATTCTGCATCTGACAGCCATATGGTTTACTATGCTGAGAACAACAAATTCAAGAGGAATAATGCAGCACTCATTGTCAAAAACAGTATTTCAAGATCTAGTTTGAAGTTCAATACTGTCTGTGATAGGAAGGAATATATCCATATGCCTATAAGGAAGATCAGTTAATGCCACTATTATTTAAGTTTATGCATCAACCACTAAGGCAAATGATGATGAAACTGAAGAATTCTACCAACTTCTTCAGTGTGAAATTGATCAAACATGCAGTCTAGAGGTATTGATAATTACTGGAATGCATATGTTGGAAACAAAGAGGAAAGATCCATAGTTGGAAAATATGGCCTTGGTGATAGAAATGATGCTGGAGATCACATGATAGAATTTTGCAAGACCAATGACTTCTTCATTGCAAATATCTTCTCAAAACTACATAAAAGACAACTATACACATGGATCTCACCAGAAGGAATACATAGAAATCAAATTGACTACAGCTGTAGAAAGAGATGATGGAAATTCTTCATATCGTTAGTCAAAACAAGACCAGGGAAAATTGTGGAACAGACCATCAGTTGCTTATATCTAAGTTCAAGCTTAGTGGAGCTCTGGTAGCATAGTGGTTACGAATCGGGCTGCAAACCGCACGGTCAGCAGTTCGAAGCTACCAGCTTCTCCGTGGGAGAAAGATGAGGCTTTCTGCTCCCGTAAAGATTTACAGCCTTGGAAACCCTGTTCAGGGTCGCTATGGGTCGGAACCAACTCGACGGCACTTAACAACAACAACAAGCTCAGGCTGAAGCTGAATAAAGTTAAAACAAATTCATGTGAGCCAAAATACGACCTTGAACTGTATCCCACCTGAATTTAGAGACCATCTGAAGGACAGATTTGAAGCTTTAGACAGTACTGACCAAAGATCAGAAGAGTTGTGGGAGGACCTCAAGATCATCATACAAAAGAAAGCAAAAGGTCATTAGAAAGACAGGATAAAAGGAAAAACCAAAATGGATTTCAGAAGAGCCTCTTACACTTGCTCCCTAACATAGAGATGCTAAAGCGAAAGAAAGAAATGAGGTAAAAGAGCTGAACAGAAAATTTCAAAGGGCAGCTTGAGAAGACAAAATCAAGTATTATAATGAAGTGTACAAAGACCTGGAGTTAGAAAACCAAAAGGGAAGAACATGCTTAGCATCTTTCAAACCCAAAGAATTCAAGCCTTGACTTGTAATACTGCACAATATTGAATGATACAGAAAAGCATCAAAAGAAGATAGAAGCTTGGGTTAAATAAAATTTACTTCTAAAATAAAAAAAGAGACGATAGAAGATATACACAGAGTCACTGTACCAAAAAGAAATGTTTCAACCATTTCAAGAGGTAGCATATGACCAAGAACTGAGGACTTCTGAAGAAAGAAGTCCAAGCTGCACTGGAGGCATTGGCAAAAAACAACGCTCCAAGAGTTGACGGAATACAAATTAAAATCTTCAAACTGATGGAACACTGGAGATGCACAGTTATCTATACCAAGAAATTTGGAAGACAGCTACCTGGCTAACAAATTAAAAGACACCCATATTTGTACCCATTCTAAGAGAAGTGAGCCCTCAGAATGCAGAAATCACTGAACAATATCATTAATAACACATGCAAGTAAAATTGTACTGAAGATGATTTTAAAAATGACAACAATACATTCACAAGGAACCGCCAGAATTTCAAGCCAGATTCAGAAGAGGTGGTGGATTGAGGATATCATGACTGACATCAGATGGATCTTGAATAAAAGCAGAGTATATCAGAAAGATGTTTACTTGTGTTTTATTGACTACGAAGGCTTTCAACTGTGTGGAGCATGACAGGCTGTGGATAACACTGTGAAGAATGGGTATTCCAGAACACTTAATTGTGAATATGAGGAACCTGTACAAAGAGCAAGAAACAGTCTTTTGAACAGAACAAGGGATTTACTGAATGGTTTTAAATCAGGAAAAGTATGTACCAGAGTTGTCATAATCACCCACAAGTGCATGTCTGAAGATGCTGTTAAAAAAAAACTCACATGAGGAATCAAAATCTGTGTTAGCTTTTTACATCCCCAAAAAGTTACATAAGAATATTCTTTGCTAGCAAGCGTGCAATGAAATAGATACCAGCATAGATGGTTTAGCACAATGCCTGGTAAATGCTCAATAAGTATTAGCTCTATCTTTATTTACCTGCACAAGATAATGAGTTTCCAATGGACTTAAAGTTCCTAAGGGGCTTTGTACCCTGTGACACTGGATTCTGCAGCTTCTTTCTGGTCTTACTGCTTTACACAGTAGAACTCTCGAGAAACTTTTCTCATCAAATCTCTAGATCCTAATCTCCCATCCCAAGCCTTTTGTGGGTTCCAAAGCCCCCAGAGACCATTAAGTAGTCCCACTGCTGTGCAGCCTGTCCTTTATGCCTGGCCCTGCTAGGCAATCCTGATGTTTGTCCATTCTCCTCATTGACATGGTGATTCTCCCCAAACTCAACTCTCTGCTTTAGCCCACAGTACAGACTCCTACTCCCCATTCTCAGAAGACCTTGCCTTTCATATCTCAGGAAACTGGTCCAGAATCACAAACATGCACACACTCTTCTCTGCCTCTCCACTCACTCTTCCCTCCATTCTCAAAAGATGAAAAGTTCTTCTTTTCTTGTATGGGAAAATTCCTACATCCACATTCAGACTCCATTTCCTCCTTATTCCAGAAGGAATTTGTTCCCCTGACTAATATGCCTTTAGTTTCTCTCTCTCTTGTTTTTTAAAACTACATCTTAAATGTTTTCACATTTCCTTGTGTTGGGCAGTTGACAAGAACATCACGTTGAGAAGTTATGACTTTTATCTTGAGAGCTAATGAGGAAATGACATGCTGAGATTTTATTTTCTTAGTAGTCACTATCAAAATGCAAGAGAAGGGGGAAAATGCCTGTGAAACAGGAAACCAAAGCCAAGATGACCAATGTGGTTCTGCTATTAAAGAATTTTTCTGGAATAATATCAGAGGCTTCCAGAGAATACAGAAACATTACCTTTAGGCGCAGAGCAAAATGGCACTGTATCACTGTAGTAATCTTCGGGGCAGATCAAATGATGTTTCCGTAGTAACTCACTGTCCACAAACCATCTGAAGACAGACTTGACTGCACAGAAGGGAAACAGAATAAAGGTGCTTCAAGTCAGACTGACATTGAAGAATCCACACTCAAATTTTTTCATCCTCTTAGCCTAAACTAACAAGATTCTTTCTCAGAAACCTGTGGTAATGTTGAGAATTAAGAAGCTAGTCAGCAAATATTTATCAGCGATATTTAAAAGAGACCAACCATTTGGCAAGGCTATATAGCAGTATTACGTGAGTTAAACTATTGTTACAGAAAGGTCTATAATAAAACAGAATTAAGAGAAGTGTGGCAGATTGAATAACTGACATCAATTCTTCACCATTCCTTATATCTACACTCATTGCCATGTGACTTTGTAGTCCCTGCTGCTAGTGGCCAACTAGTAATGATAAAAGGAATTATTACAATCATTATGTTATTGTTGTTAGTAAGTGACGCGGAGTCAGTTCTGACCCACAGTGACCCTGTACAGGGTTTCTGAGGAGCAGCTGGTGAGCTTGAACCACAGAGCTTGTGGCTGAAACTGACTTTGCAGACTAGCATGGTTTATTTAAGAAAGACTTGTCATTGAATGTTGGACAGTGAATGTTTGGAGAGAAATAGATTATTGACATAATTTAAAAATAGCCCTCCAGAAAATACAAATCAATGATAAAGACAAAAAATGGCGAATTTACTGTGGAGAGCCATGGCAGATCATGTGCCTCCAGATGTGATACGGTGCTCCTGCCAAGAAGGTCTGAGTCTGGTCACGAGAAAATATCAGACAGAACCATTTTACAGAATAAAAAGTCTGTCAAGAGCTGTCAAGAACTGCCAAGAACTGCCAAGAACTGCCAGGAACTGTCAAGAATATGAAAGACAGGAAAATGGTCAAATTATTATTCCAAACAAAGGAAAAAGAGACAGTACAACTAAATGTAACATGACTCTTGGGTAGGCTCCTGGGCTAGAAAGGAAAGAGAGATGCTGTTGTGAAGGGAAGTGACTTCTGAATCGGACTTGTGGATACCAGTGCAGATCCCTAGACAATGGGCAATGAAGCAAATACAGTAAAACATTAACAGCTGGGGAATTACGGAAAAGGACACTTAGGAGTTCTTTGTGCACACCTGGAGGCAACTTGATGACATTCAAGTCCCCAAAGGACTGTACTTCTGCCTGGCGCATGGTCTGTTCTTCCTCTGCCATGGCCCGAGCGCGGGCCTGAATGATGTGCCTCTCCAACATTTCAACCTCCTTCAGTCGCTGCTTGTAGAGCTCTCGAATCTGGCAGGTGAAGATCAGAGACACAGAAATATGGTGAGACCACATAGCTTTCCTCAACGTACCTCAGCATCAGAGCTTCCCATGGAGCATAGAGTAAGCATCACAGCATTAGAAAGGCCATCTGACAACTGAATAGATGTAAAAACTGACACCCCTAGAGGGGAAATGATTTCAAGCTTTCACAGTAAGGTCAGTAACAGAGCTAAGACTGAAACCCTGTCTCTTAGATCTACAGTAAAGAAGATGTTGTCTAAACCCTGAAATTCCACACACAGATTTTCACACTATCTGTGGTAGAGGACGGGATGCGTCACCCAGATGATCCTTCAAGGAAGAACTTGATTCCCAGCTGCAGGGGGTGTAGTCAGTACACATCCCTCAGTCGCCGGCCACTTCAGAGTCTACGTAGCTACTGGATGGGGTTTGCCTGAGATCTGGTGATGGAGAGAGGCAAAGATAGAAATGCTTGGCTACTTTGGCCCAAAGAAAAAACACTCTGACAGACAATACTGTCTCTACAGCAATCTGATGCATTTGCTGATGTTTATAGGGCCTTAGTCCAATACCCAATTCTGCCTCCCCGCTGCTCTTCACAGGGGTTGATCTCTAATAAACACTTTGCACCCCAAACTCTTATCACAGTGTCTTCTTCAAGAGAGTTCAATCTGGATGCCCAACATACTTCTCAAGACTAATTACAGATCGACTAGCCAGGAAGGCATCTGAGTCGAAACTTCTTGAAGTAAGAAGCTCATTGGGTTGGATAATGTTGGACAGTTCGTACAAGGAGACAACGTTCCTTACTATATTCCTGGAGCTGGTAGGATCTCAAAAGTGTTTTGTAGATTTTTTTTTTTTTTTAGTAAAAATGTGCACTAGGGGAAAGAAATGAATCAGATACAGTCTCTGCTCTCAGTTGTGAGGATGGCACGGTCCAGGCAGTGTTTTGTTCTATTGTGGATAGGGTGCCTATGAGTTGGAATCAGCTTGATGGCAACTAACAACAACAATGATCAACAGCAAATGTTACAGAACTATACACTCTGGGTTCAAATCCTGGCTCCTTCAAATAAGATCGATATAATGTGGGACAATCCTTACTACTGTATGCCTCAATTTCCTCCTATATAAAGTGGGGATAATAATATTTGCCCGTTGTTGTTAATGACAGAGCCCATTACTGTTGCCATTGTGACAATCCATCTTGTTGGGGGGGGTCTTCCTCTTTTTTGCTGACACTCCATTTTACCAGGCATGTCCTTCTCCAGGGACTGGTCATTCCTGTCTTCTAACGAGCATTCAGGCTATACTACTTCCAACACAGATTTGTTTGTTCTTCTGGAAGTCCGTGGTACTTTCAATATTCTTCTCCAACACCATAACTCAAATGCATCAATTCATCTACAGTATTCCTTATTCACTGTCCAACTTTCACATGCATGAGTCTACTGAAAACATCATGGCTTATGTTAGGCAACACTTTAGTCCTCACACTGAAATCTTTGTTCTTGAAAAGTTTAAAGAGGTCTTGTGCAGCAGATTGCCTAACATAATACATCATTTGTTATCTTGACTGCTGCTTCCATGAAAGTTTTTGAAAACTTCAATTGTTTCTCCATTTATTACGATGTTATTTATTGGTCTAGTTTTATGGGTTTTTGGTTTTTTTTTACATGGAGGTGCAATCCATACAGAAGGCTGGAGTCTTTGATCTTCATCAGTAAGTATTTTAAGTTTTCTTTGCTTCCAGCAAGAAAGGTTGTATCATCTGCATATCACAGGCTGTTGATGAGTCTTCTTTCAATTGTAAAGTCACGTTCTTCTTCATATAACCCAGGTTTCTTGGATTATTTGCTCAGCGTACAGATTAAATATGGTGAAAGAATACAACCCTGATACACACCTTTCCTGATTTTAAACCATTCAGTGTCCCCTTGTTCTGTTCAAAGACAGCCTCTTGGTGTATGTACAGGTTCTTCATAAACACAATGTGTTCTAGCAGCCCCACTCTTCACAAAATTATTCATAATCTTGTTATGATCTATTTAACTGAAAGTCTTTGCAAAGTCAATTAAGCACAAGCAAACATCTTTCCAGTATTCTCTGCTTTCAATCAAGATCCATCTGACATCAGCAAAGCTATTCCTCATTCCACATCCTATTCTGAAACTGACTTGAATTTCTGGCAGTTCCCTATCAGCATACTGTTGCAGCCATTTTTGAATTATCTTCAGCACACTTTAACTTGCTTGTGATATTAATGATACTATTCAATGATTTCAGCATTCTGTGGAGTCACCTGTCTTTGGAATGGGCACATATATGGATGTCTTCCAATAGATTGGTCAGGTAACTTTCTTCCAAATTTCTTGGCATAGATGAGTGAGCATCTCTAGTGCTTCATCAGTTTGTTGAAAGATTTCAATTTGTAGTCCATCAATTCCTGGAGCATTGTTTTTCGCCCATACAGGAAACATTGGTTCTTGATCATATGCTGCCTTTTGAAATTGTTGAACATCAGCTATTTCTTGTTGGAGTGACCCTGTGTATACCACCTTTCATCTTTTTTTTTAACCTTTTATTGTGACTTGAATGAGAGTTCACAGAGCAGATCATCAGTTTTATATTCAAGAAATCATACAGTTCATTTCCTTAAAATGATTGCAATCCCCTTCACATGCCATCAGTTACCAATATTTACCTCATACTTTATTTTTTAACAATATTTACCTCTACTCACTATTTAAAAAATATTTTTTTCCACCCCCCCCCCCACACACACACACACACTTGTCCTGGATCCATCATAGAATGTTTCATTTAGCAAGAAAATCTTTTCTTAACTTTTCACAACAGTGATCTCATGCAATATTTGTCATTTTGTGATTGACTAATTTCACTCAGCATAATGTCCTCCAGGTTCATACATGTTGTGAGGTGTTTTGCAGTTACTTTGTTTTTCTTAAACGTGTAATATTCCACTGCGTGTATGTACCAAAATTTGTTTAACCATTCTTCTGTTAATGGGCATGTAGGCTGTCTTCATATTTTTGCTACTGTGAATAGTGCTGTAATGGACATGGGTGTGTATGTTCCCCTGACTCGATAGTCGTGTCGCAGTTCTTATTTCTTGACGATATATACCATGATTGCTGGGTCATGTGGCTTTTCTACTTGCAACTTTTTAAGAATACGCCATACCATTTCTATAGTGGTTGCACCCTTTACAGCACCACTACCAGTACAGGAGGATGCCAGACTCCCCAAATCCTTGCCAGCATTTGTTGTTTTCTCTTTCTTGGAACTTTGCTATTAATGCTGGAATAAGATGATATCTCATCGCTGTTGTGACCTGCATCTCTGCTGGTGTGGTGCTGTAGGATAAGCACTTAACCACAAGGTCAATTTGAACTGCAAGGTTGGTGGTTCAAACTCAGCCAATGTTCCTCAGAAACCCCATATAGGGTTGCTATGAGTTGGAGCTAACTCAGCAGCACTTAACAACAGTAATGGCTAGTGATCATGAGCATTTCTTCATATGTTTGTTGGCTGCCTGAATGCCTTCCTAGGTGAAGCATCTGTTCATATTCTCTGCCCATTTTTCAATTGGATTATTTGTCTTCTTGCTGAGCATTGCAATGTTCTATACATTTTGGAGAGTGGTCTTTTGTTTGATAGGTCATCACCAAACATATTTTTTTTCTCAAGTCTATGAACTCTCTTTTTACTCTTTGGATGTATGTAAGTGTCTAATTGTTAGGAAATCCCAGTCATCTATTTTGTCTTTAGTTTGTGTGTTTTCAGTTATGTTTCATAACGTGTTTATGCCATGTATCAGTGCTCCTAAGTTCCTTATTATTCTCACTTATGACCTGTGTAGTTCTAGGTTTTACATTTAGGTCTCTAAATGCACGTCATTTTTGTATAGGGTGTGAGACATGGGTCTTGTTTTATTTGTCTGCAAATGATTTCCCAATTTTGCCAACACCATTTGTTGAAGAAACTATCTCTTCCACATTTAATGCATTTTGGCTCTTTGTTGAACACTAACTGACTATAGGTGTATGGATTTACTTCTGGGTTATCAATTCTGTTCCACTGATTTATGTGTCTTTCATTGTACCAGTACCAGGCTGTTTTGACTATTGTGGCTGTGTAGTAGGTTTTGAGATTGTGAAGTGAGAGATCTCCTATTTTGTTCTTTTTAAATAACGCTTTGCTTCCCTTAGTCTCTTTCCTTTCCATATAAAGTTAGTGATTAGTTTTTCCATCTCTTTATAGATTGATGTTGGAATACAGATTACGATAGCATTATATCTATAGATTGCTTTGGGTAGTATTGACATTTTCACAATTTAAGTCTTCCTATGCTCAAGCATGATATATTCCTCCATTTATGCAGGTCTTTTTGGTTTCTGTTAGTAGCGTTTTGTAATTTTTTTTGTATAGGTCTTTTGTTTCTCGAGTTAGATTTATTCCCAAGTATTTCATCTTTTGGGTTGTTATTGTAAATGGTATTATTTTCCTGATTTCTTTTTCAGAGTTCTCTTTATTAGTCTAAAGGAATCCAACTGCTTTTTGTATGTTAATTTTATGTCTTGCCACTTTGCTGAATCTATTAATGAACTCCAATAATTTTCTTGTAGAGTCTTTGGTATTTTCTAAGTATAAGATAGTATCATCTGTAAATAAAGAGAGTTTTACTTCTTCTTTGCCAATTTGGATTCCTTTCATTTCTCTTTCTTCCCTTACAGCTCTGGTTAACAATTCCAGCACAATAGCTAATGTTGTTGTTGTTAGGTGCCATCAAGTCAGACCTGACTCATAGCAATCCTATACACAATAGAATGAAACACTGCCTGGTCCTCAGCCAACCTCACAATTGTTGCCACGCTTGAGCCCATTGATGTTGTCACTTTACCAATCCATCTCGCTGGGAGTCTTCCTCTTTCTCTCTGACCCACCACCTTACCAAACATGATATCCTTCTCCAGCAACTA